GCATTTTGATAGGTTATTGCTAATTTATCCTCTCGTAGAAAGCAAGTAAATGAGAGTGCTTCTTTCCCCACACCCTTACCAGCACAGGGTATTAGCAAACCTAAATTTACATCCATCTATTAGGTGAAAATTGGCACCTTATTGCTTTGATTTGGATTTTGTTACTTTTTAAAGTTGACTATCCTTTTATATGTTTTTAAATTGTTACATTTATTCTATTGAAAAAAATTTATTCCTAGGAACATTATAAAATGAAGTGTTCTAGCTATTTTCAAAAATACAATATGATGACTACAAGCTAAAGATCTAGAATGTTTCCTTTAGCTTTGGCGATTTTGTATCATACTGTCTTACCCCAGCTTGTATGTGTCATGTCATGTCGCTCATTCATTCATTAAAAATGTACTTATTTTTATAGAACATTGATAGGCACTGCCCTTAAAAAGGTAAATATTTTTAGATGAAGAAGTATGATTGGGGCACCGTTTGTAGGGTCTGTCTACTAAGGCATTAAACTCAAATCTTGGTATGTGACCAATGATTCTCCTCCATAAGTGTTTTTTTTTTTTTCAACTTTTTCAAAATCAAATTAATAGTCCCGACTGTCTGTTGGTTAAACAAGTGGAAATTTATTAACCAAAAGGCTGGGTCTCTACCTGTGATAGCCTCAGATTATCAGACTATTACTGCTGCCTTCTTGCCGTTTGCTGCTTCATAGTTGATGAGTGTCTGACTCTCTGGATGCAGCCAGTGAAGGGAGTTAAAGAGGTTAGTGTTCTGATGGTGAGGTGACATAAATCTAGTGTCTTCCCTAACCATTCTACCCTATTTTTGGTTTGTTGGTTCATTCATTTATAATTTCTGTTGAACTAGAAGGCTCATGACATGTAGCCATAGGCCACTTATTTATTGGTTAGTCCAAGTATCTGATGTAATTTCTCTTTCAACTGCTAGCAAGCAAGAAGGGGGTGGTATAGTAAATTATTTTTTTTTTTTTTTTGAGACAGAGTCTCACTGTGTTGCCCGGGCTAGAGTGCCGTGGCGTCAGCCTAGCTCACAGCAACCTCAAACTCCTGGGCTCAAGCGATCCTCCTGCCTCAGCCTCCCGAGTAGCTGGGACTACAGGCATGCGCCACCATGCCCGGCTAATTTTTTCTATATATTTTTAGTTGTCTGATTAATTTCTTTCTATTTTTAGTAGAGACGGGGTCTCGCTCTTGCTCAGGCTGGTTTCGAACTCCTGAGCTCAAACAATCCGCCCGCCTCGGCCTCCCAGAGAGCTAGGATTACAGGCGTGAGCCACCGCGCCCGGCTGGTATAGTAAGTTATTGGATGGACTTGTTTTAGACAATAGGGAAAGCCTGGAATCTATACCACTGAGTCCAGGCTTGATATCACAAGTAAATATAGGAGGCAAAGAATTAAAGATTTCTAAGTAATAGATGTTTTTGTAGGAATAATACTTGTATTGTAGATCCTTTGCTCTTCTCCAGTCTGTATGGAATGAGAAATAAGGTCATGTCTTTGAGTCCACTCTACTTTACACACCTAAAGTGTCAATTGCCAAGCTCTTGGTTGTATGTATATGTGAAAGGCATTTGAAAGATTGCTACAGATGCAGATTCAAGACAATGTAGGCAAGCTTTGCTTTTCATGGTAGCACAGGATGGTAAAAATGACACTGCAGGCTGAAATTGTGAACAATTATCTTAATAAACAATGAGAAAAATTATGATTGTTCTATGTTAAAATTTTTTGTCAAAACATTGAAAACTTTCTGTTATAGATATATAGGGAAGTGAAACAAAAGTAAAACTAATGTTCGTTTAGTACTCTGTAATTTAGAATATTAGAAATACTAAAGATTAAACTATCTTTTGTGGGAAAATACTTATCAAGATCAGTTTAAATAGTGCTTGCCTTCTTTTTGTCATAGAACTTATAATTACAGAGGAAGCATCTTTTTTATGTCTTGGCAAATACTCTTGAATGGTGGTAGTGTCCACATTCCCACAGCTGTTTCTTCTGTTACTCCATTTAAATTTAATTTGGATTTCACTGCCAGCATTATCGCTTTTCTTTTCTTTGCTTCAGTTTCATTTTTGTTGGCTAATTCTCTGAAAAACAAGGAGGCAACACAACTGTACACTTAGCTGTCTGTGTATAAACTGAATAGCAAATGCCAAGTGTCCAGTCACCACCAGCCTTTTAAAGAAGTGACGTAATCAGTCACTGATCATAATGTGCATCTGTTTTATTTGTGGACTAAAGAGCTTGCAATGAAGTTTGACCTTTATGCAATTACAGTTAATGTGCCACAGTGACTGAAATTTGAACTCTGCTATTGGGGTACTGATGCTATTTAACTAAATCATGATAACTGGAATTCTTGCATATCAGGACTGTGCAAAGAAAGCAAGGACTGCCTAAATAAATGGCCTATTGCATCATACTGATTGCATATGAGTTCTGTAGTAATTATAATTTTGTTGCACATGATGGTTGTACATTGAGCTCACTCTTTTTAAGGTTTCTTGGAGGTAACTTACGGAACATAAATGTTTATTTTGCTGTCTGTATCAGCATAGGCCAAATTATGCCTTGGTAACAAATGACTCCCAAATCTTAGTACTCTTAGTAACTTCTGTTGAACATTGGCTGGGAGGAGGGGATCAAGGCTTTGTTTCACTTTGCCCTCACTCAGGGACCCAGGCTGAGGGAGGCTCCATCTCTGTGCTTCTGTAGTTACCAAAGCAGGAATTGGGAACATGATGAATTCTATACTATGTCTTGAGGTTTCCACCCAGAAATGATATATACCATTTCCAATCACATTTTACTGGCCAAAGTAAGTCACATGATCATGTCCCAAAGTGGCAGAGAGTGAAATTCTGACATGTGCCTAGAAGGAAGAAATGTTGATGAGCAACATTAGTGACTACTACAGTATTCAAAGAGTTAACCTGGGGAGAGTTTATTAGGGAAGGGCAACCAAGGACTGGAATTACAGACATAGATATGTCAGATGGTCACTCTCTGAGAGTGGAAGAAGCATATTGAAGCAAAATTGTGTGTACTTTCATTCTAGGAGCTTGGACACTGTGATTTTATGAAAATTAGGGTAAAAGGTCAAGATGAGGCCAAGTACTTGTAAGAGAGGATAGATGGATCATAGAAACCAGGCAGAGCCCTGGAGATCAGAACTCACTCTAATGAGAACTCAGAGACTCTATCTACCATTCTTAGATGACTTCAACTCTTTTATGGTTAAAGTCTCTGAGCCTCCATCTGTGTTTCACCTGGGTTTAAGTTGACTACATCTTTGGGAGTTCTGGGATACCTGACAGAGATCAATCTTAAATTGAGCCCTGAAGGAAATGTAGGCTGTAGGTTGGCAGAGAGGAATGGCAAGGACATTCTAGGAATAAGTGGGTAAAGTATGAATGAGTGAAACCAGTATAAGTAATAGGATGCTATGAAAGTGGTAAGAGTATTGACCTTCTTAAAACAGGGTGACATAAAAGAACCACAGGGCATTAATTGCATAATGATCCTCATTTTTACTTATTACAATTCCATCCTTAATGTTTGCCTGTATATTTAACCATGAATATATTAAACTCACCAAATCCTCAACAATTTATTCAGATAGCTACCCTAAAAGTGCCCTGTCTCATAGTTTTCTGTGTGATACTTAACACTTGAATACATCCACATACCAGATTAATTAGAAATCACTCCATAGCTGTGCTCACACCTGAACTTCTCATGTTCATCTAAATGTGATCCAAGCTTCTTGTCCAAATTTTCTGTAACAATCTTGAATTTGGAGCAAAAATATTAAGACATACCTAGTCAAGGCAGGAGCCATTTGAGCCTGCATTCATGTATTTTTCAGCACATTAAATGGGGTATTATATTTGGGAAAATATAGTTAATATGCGGTATATTTTGGTATAGTATTGCCATATCTAGGGTAAGAAAAGTACACTGAGTCAGTTATAATCAACCACATTATATCTAAATTTTCCAGACATATTAGGGCTTTCCAATCAAATATCTATATTCTCAGACAAAGCACTTAACTAATCAACTGAATACAGATTTTTTACCTAAACATTTTGATGTTGTATAGCCTTACCTAAGGGTTGGACCCATTAGCAACTTCTTTCATTCTTTCAGCCTCTCCCTGTCAGTTTTCTAGGAACAACACCATGAGGGGTCTTTGGGTTCCAGGAAATTGATCTATGGAGTGTTCTTTGCACAAGCATACTGCATTGTTCTTAAAAGCTTGAGGATTTCCCCCTCTAAACTTTGACATATTGTAAGTCAGTGGTCCCCAACCTTTTTGGCACCAGGGACTGGTTTCAAGGAAGACAATTTTTCCACAGGATGTGGGGAGGGGATGGTTTCGGGATGATTCAAGCACATTACATTTATTGTGCAGTCAAACCTCTCTGCTAATGACAATCTGTATTTGCAGCCTCTCCCCAGTGCTAGCATCACTATCTCAGCTCCACCTCCAGTCATCAGGCATTAGATTCTCATAAGGAGTGCGCAGCCTAGATCCCTTGTATGCACAGTTTACAGGAGGGTTCGCCCTCCCATGAGAATCTAATGCATTGCTGAACTGACAGGAGATGGAGCTTATGCAGTGATGTGAGTGATGGGGAGCAGCAGTAAATACAGATGAAGTTTGCCTGCTCACCTGCCGCTCACCTCCTGCTGTACAGCCTGGTCCTTAACAGGCCATGGGCTGGTAGCAGTCTGTGGCCCGGAGGTTCAGGACCACAGTTGAAAGTGATATTATGTAAGAGGTGTGAGCCATGTCAGTACAGGGAGTGTGCTCCAACGGGCATCAGAAATTTAGCTATTTATTCAGCATTGTAATTTTTCCGTGTGACTATTACTGAATTTGGGAGAATATATTACTAAAAGATGTAGTAATGTTTTCAATTATCTAAGCTCTTTATAACATCAAAAATTCATTGTTAATATAGGGCAATACACTTTCTTCAGTGAGACCAACCAATGTATTAGAAATGATGAAAGAATGGAAAAATAACCCAGAAAGTGATGAGGAAAATACAACAGATGAGAATAATCAGTCCATTCAAGCAAAGCTGAAAAGTTACCAACCTTGGGGAAATGTTCGTGATGTCATTAGCACTTACCAGGAAGAGGAGGAAAAACAGGTAAGAAGAAGCAGCCAAATAAGTAGGAAGAAAAATTGTTTCATTTCTCCAAAATGTAAAATACCCTCACAACACTTGGGATATTTTTTGCAACTCTGTTTTGTTGTTAGTTTGTAACAAAGGGCCTGCATTATACAGCAAGTGAAGTTCTTTCTGCCTTATAGGCTATCACGATTTAACAATGTGGCCTACATGTTTATTTTAAGATCAGTGATTATGTAGAGCAGGGGTCTACACAATTTTTCTGTAAGAGAACAAATACTAAATATTTTAGGCTTTGTGGGCCATAATAGTCTCTGTCACAACTACTCAACTCTGATGTTATAGCATGAAAACAGCCATAGACAATAAATGAATGAGTATGGCCATGTTCCAACTAAACTTTTTTTTTTTTTTTTTTAACAAAAACCGATGGTATGACAGATGTGGCTCATGGGTCAAATTAATAATTTTTGTACTTTACCAGATTACAGAATTTGGAATGGGTCTATGTATTACTTAGAAAATAATTGTTACATTATCCAGTTATTTGTGCCTAATTTTATGATAACTAAAAATTTTCATGTGGGTTTATCATTTTACCTTATTAGTTCTTAATACAGGTTTTTTTTAATGAATAGAATTCAGTAATATTTTGATTAATTCTAGATTGTGGTATATTAACTGGATATCCTGACAATGTTTACCCTCCCCCAACCCCCACTTTCTTTTTTGTTTCTGTGTTTGTGGAAATTTTTTCTGTGTGTTTATTCTCCTTCTTGTCTTGAAGTTTAATGAACATATTTTAGCTCTTGTTTAATAATTGAGCATCCTGCCAAGGACTGTTCACCTCATGGCAGCCCTGACTTCTTGTGAGGAGTTGCTGCTTTTTGCTTCTCTGGTGGTTCGAGATAGGCAGAGCGCAGAGAGGGACTGCCAGGGCGGACCCTGCACCAGACCCAGGGAGGTGCAGCGTTGCCGGCCCTCACCCTCCATACTGCAGAAAGGGACCTGATGGAGCGATCTGTTGGTTAATTTTGATTTACTAGTTGGGAACTTCTTTGTTACTTGACAGCAGATGCCTACATAATAAGCTTAACATAATGATTCAGATATTTTAAAAGAATCATAATGTAAACATAAGATTATTGAATTCCCTCCTTTTTCTCCAGTCTGTTAACAACTCCTGCAACTCATGCTTAGCAGCTGTGTGTATTTTATGTTCTCCTTAAAAGTAATACCCTAAAACTCCGTGTTTGCATTTCTTATTGAACATAGTTTAAAGATTTTTCTGTTGGCTAACTTGGCACTTTATACACACATATACACACACATACACATGTGCACACACACATATTCATACACATACATTATACATACATACATACACATATGCATTAACACATGTATACAAATACTTATACACACATGCACGTACATGCTTTTTCTATAGTCTTGGATTATATCTATGTTTGTCACTGAATCTGACATAAAATATCCTTGTGAACTAAATGTCTTCGATCTCCTTTTCCATTGCTCTGTCACAGCTTTCCCCCTCCCCCTCAGTCCCCCCCTGCAAGTCACAAGTACTGAGACTTACTATGCTATTCTCAGCTGCTTCCAACTAGGGCACAGAAGAATTGGAATTTGAGTTGTTTACGGATGCTAGAACTATAACCAGTTGGTTGAAATTTTAAGAATATATTAATAGAAATTTTAAGACTATAGATTGCAAATTTAAGAATATAGAATTTTAAGAGTGTAGTTTTCTTCAGCAGGAAGAAATTTTCCATAATTCCAGAGTTTACCAACAATGGAAAAGGCTGGGCTGTGGATAATAAACCCTCCCGCTCCCAATCATAGGAAGTATTCAAGCAGACTCTGGAAAGCTACTTGTTATAAATGCCATAGCAGGAATTCTTGCAAGATGGGTAGGAGCTTGCCCTCAGTGTCCTCTATGGAACTTTCCCATGCTTAGGTTTGGGCTGTGATATCTTTGGAGGAATACTGTACCTTGTTTGGGAATTTTTCTGAAAAGTACTGTCCCTTAAAAGAAATAGACTTATCATGCATTAACATATTAAGTTTTTCATGAATTTTTATGAATAAATATGTTATTTTGTTAATTATATTGAAGTTAAGTTTATGTTAAGAAATCACTTCTGTTCTTTCCAATCTTTGTTAATAATATGTAGAGTATAAAAATACTGAAGTGATAACTGAAAATAGGATTGGCTATGTGCTCTTGAGTCACTCTTAAAAGTGAAATTTTAATGTTATTAAAAATATCCTATGAATATTGAAATATTTTCCATAGGGATAGTTTTGCTTATTAAAATTAGATTATATGGACAATTTCATGTGATAATATAAATAATTGATACCACCTAAACTAAGAACATATGTGAGATTCTTTTTCCATTAAATATTTGAAATTTGGCTTTAACTTAAGTGGAAATCTCCCAGCAGTTCCTGCTTTCCATTGCATCATTGTTCTCTTTTCTGGAGAATCTCATAAATCCTTTTAGAGTTCCTGATTTTGTGTTCCTCACAAGCTAGGTTAATCACACCTTTTACATAAGTGGCAGAGCTCTTGGAAAACTAGCAGAGAGAGTTAAGTGTGGGTTTGTTGAAAACAACAACAAAAACACTTGAACCAGGCACCTTCCTCTTTCCCTAAGTAACAGTCCCTTAGTTCTAAATGCCTCAGACATTATGGAAAAATACAGTCTGCATCTCCTTATTGTTCATATTTGGACTAAGGTATCACACTACACTTTTTTCAAATTATTTTCCAATAGTTGGCACTTGACAATGTCCTTTTTTTCATTTACACCTTTTTTAGGTAATTCTGTCTTCAAATGTTTTTGAAGACAGAAATATTCTCTCATGTATATCTTGTTTCTTACAGCCAAGGACATCTAGATGACGTTTTGTGTTGTTAGTAACCCTCTCAATTCCCTAAGACAAAGTCTTCGTCTGCTTTATCAGGTAGACCTGACTTTCACTTACACAACAGCATTTGCCGATCTTCAGATGAAACACTTGGCAAACCATGACTTTTAACATTAGGTCCTTAGTGATTCCTGACAAATGTTACCCTCCTTTCATTAGTCATAAGCTCAGAAAACAGTTGGAGAGAAATGAACGTCTGTAATTAAATTGTACATCCCCATAACCATGGAGGGAGGAGCTAGAATCTCTGGATGAGATAGAAGTATGTTTGCATTACAGAATTCTTGCTTCATAATGCCGAAACCTAGTTGTTAAATTGTTTATTGAACACAGTCTTGAATGAACTTGCTTAATGAAAATGGAAGACTTTTGTGATTATTTTCTTTTGTCATCATTTTTTGTTGACTGAAAACATGGCCATTATGGTATCGTAGGAAATAGTACATGTAGCAGTTACTTTATCTAGGCTGAAAGTAGAAAGACAAAGTGGCTTAGAAACTTCGAAAAGTTATTTTAATAAGGGATATGTGTTCACATAGCATTTCTTTGAAGACAAGAAATATTTAAATTTAAATAACATTAAAATTAAACACTTGAACTATGATATGTTGATAATGTTTCTGTTAATATGAGGAAAAACTTAAGTTTTCTAGGTATTTTAGTTGAGTAGGATACAAATTTTCTTTTCCTGAGAAATTACATTTTAGCTCTTTACATCCACAAGAATCAGCTATAACATGATAATGTGATGGTACTTCCACAATTTTGACACATTTTCGTATACCAATGTTCATATGTGCCCAAGCACAGCACTTAAAATATCATAGTGGTTAAAAGTATAAGCTCCCGATCTAGGCCACTGGGATTCAAATCCTGGATTCACCACTTACAAGCTTAATGACTTGGGCAAGTCTCTAGGTCTCCATTTTCTCATCTGTGAAACAGGAATAATAATGTCATCAACTAAAGGCCAAATGAAATCATGCATGTAATAAACATTCTCGGCATGTGGTAAGTACTCATTAGTATTATTAGCTATTATTACTTTCATTATTATATTACTAAAGAATTTGTGTAGAATATTACTAAAATTAAATGTATTTTACTGGCTGAATCAAGGCTCCTTTGGGTATAGGTCTGGGAATAAACTGATACACACCATTTTCGAACTTGATAATGTGATGCTTCTACCTTCCTTTGCCCTCTGAGTTTGGTGAGGTTTCTAGGGTCCCCAGGATACTGTGGTAGACTGGATTATTGTTCCTAAGTCTTTAATCCCTCCCTGTAAGGGATTTGTACATTCACAACTTTTGTCATGCGACTTTGTGGTTCTCCCTACTAGAACAGATGAAGGCTATTTTCTCACCCCACAAATGTTGGTCTTGGTCTTATCTATGTGACTTGCTTTGGCTGATGAAATGTTAATGGATATGATGTAAGCAGAGACCTTAAATGTTTTTGCATTATTTAGCTTGCTCTATATATTTCTGCCACCTGCTGTGAGAAGAACATGACTGCAGAGAGCCACAGGTCCCAGGATTATGATTTGTATAACAGACCTGAACTCAATCTAAAGCCTGAAGTCTAGCCTAGCACAGCCAAGCCCTGCAGCCAATTGAGAAAAATAAATATTTGTTGTTATAAGATACTGAGATTTTTGTAGTTTGTTGTGTAACTTGCAGAAAAGAGCTAACATAGCAGGCCTAAACTACTATCCTTCAAAAGTCCTATTTGCAAGGTTGGCCCTTGGCTGGCATCTGGGAACTTCGATTTTGAGATAGTTGTTACCGTTAACTGATAAGAATAGCTCATTATGTCTAAACTATTTGTGTAAACAATATGGTTTATGCCACATACCTACTTTCCTTCTGGGATTCTGGGATTTTGGAAAGAGCAAGGCAAAGGCAGCCTACATGACTAGTCCCCAATAAAAACCCTGGCTTCCAAGTCTCTAACGAGCTTCTATCGCTGGCAACATTTCACACATGTGGTCACAACTCATTGCAGGGGAAATTAAGTGCATCCCGTGTGACTCCACTGAGGACACTTGAAGTTTGTTTGTGGTT